CTCGTTTGTCACCTTTAATATATAAAACAAAATTTAAGAGAATAACCCAAAAAAAAATTACACTGAGCACCTCCTAGGCTAATAAGATTTATAAAAATTGTTGGTTATACATTCTTGGTATAATTATTCCCAACAACTAATGGCTTCCACATATTAGAATCCATCACTAAATTTTATCAGATGGGTATTAAAAGATCACTATGGAAAATTCTAGAAAGATCTCATGGCTCCATAAATTGTGACAGAGAGCAGTGTCAAATATGTTAAAGATTGGGTCCTGAAAGTTTGACGTCTAAGGCAAATCTTCACAACAGGAGAGGCTCATGTCTAGTAGATGTGACAAGCTGATGAAAATGAAGAAGAATGTGCTTGTCACAAATATTGGACCAGGAATTTAAATACTTGGTGTCTATGTTGTAATCATCATCATCATTACAGCCCTTCACAAGTCCACTGCTGAACATAGGCCTCCCCCAAAGAATGCCACAAAGCACGGTCCTGAGCCACCTGCATCCATCGACTTCCTGCATATCTTACCAGGTCGTCACTCCATCTAGTGGGGGGACGCCCTACACTTCGCCTGCCGGTACGAGGCTGCCACTCGAGAACCTTTCTTCCCCATCGGTTGTCGGTTCTTCGAGCTATATGGCCGGCCCATTGCCACTTCAGCTTACTAATCCGTTGGGCTATGTCGGTCACTCTAGTTCTACTGCGGATATCCTCATTTCTGAGTTTATCACGCAGAGAAACTCCGACCATAGCCCTCTCCATAGCTCGCTGAGCGACCTTGAGCTTCCTCATCCGGCCAGCAGTGAAGGACCACGTCTCAGTTCCGTATGTCATCACTGGCAACACGCACTGGGTGTACAGTCTCGTTTTCAAGTTTTGAGGTATACCTGACGAGAAGATGTGCCGTAATTTCCCGAACGCTGCCCAACCGAGTTGAATCCGTCGATTGACCTCTCGGTCGAAGTTGGACTTACCTAGTCGGACTATTTGTCCCAGGTAAACATACTCGTCAACAACTTCGAGCTTAGTGTTCCCAACAACTACCGGCATAGGTGTGACATGGACATTAAACATGATCTTTGTTTTGTCCATGTTCATCTTAAGACCTATCCGTTGGGAAACACTATTGAGGTCATTGAGCATAGTGCTTAGGTCCTCCAGCGATTCTGCCATAAGGACTATATCGTCGGCAAATCGAAGGTGAGTGATGTACTCGCCATTGATGTTGATACCGTATCCTTTCCAGTCCAGAAGCTTGAAAACATCTTCCAATGCAGCGGTAAAGAGTTTCGGGGATATGACGTCACCCTGTCTTACACCTCTCTGCAATTGGATAGGTTTCGTACTCTGGTTCTGTACTCGGATAGCCATCGTAGCCCTACTGTACAAGCACTTCAACACTTCGATATACCGACAGTCAACTTGGCATCGCTGAAGGGACTGCAGCACCGCCCAAATTTCGACGGAATCAAAGGCTTTCTTATAGTCCACATACGCCAGACATAGTGGCAAATTGTACTCCTCGGACTTCTGTACAATTTGCCGAAGGGTATGTATGTGGTCTATGGTGCTAAAGCCTTTTCGGAAACCGGCTTGTTCGGGAGGCTGGAAGTCGTCAAGTCTGCGCGCGAGACGATTCGTAATGACTCTCGAAAACAGCACGTAGACGCGGCTCAGAAGGGAAATCGGTCTGTAGTTCTTCAAGAGAGCGTTGTCGCCTTTCTTGAAGAACAAGACCACCGCACTTCTGCTCCACGCCTCCGGTGTAATGCCACCATGGAGGACGGTATTAAAGAGCTTCTGAAGGACTTCAAGTACCGGTTTTCCACCCGCTTTCAGAAGCTCCGCTGTAATTCCATCCTCGCCTGGGGCCTTGCCGTTTTTAAGGTGCTGGAGAGCCATTCTAATCTCGCTCAGACTGAGGTCCGGGATATCATCGGAATAATGTCGGATAAGACTCGCTCTTGGATCGTTACTCACACTTGCGTGCGGCTCCAACGATGACGTGTACAGCTGCCCATAGAACCTCTCAATCTCACTCAAAATCTCAGGTGCCCCGGAAACGATGCTGCCACATTCTGTCTTCAGCTTTGACAGTTGGCGCTTTCTGGCAGCCAGATCTCTGGCAAAGACTTTGGAGCCTCGGTTCCGCTCGATCGCTTCTTCAATACGAGCTGTATTGAATTTGCGTAAGTCCCGCCGCATGCATTTGGAGATCTGTCTGTTCAGTTGCCTGTATGCTGTTAAATCTGTTGAAGAATGTAGCTTCATCTCCCGTCTAACAGCCATGAGATTAAGAGTGTGATCGGAGAGTTTTTGTGTTCTTCTGCGGCGGGTCTTGCAGAACTTAGCTCCGACCGCATGGACAGTTTCCACGAGCTTGTCATTCAAATCGTCCACTTCATTGCAGTCTTCTAGGCACTGAAAACGGTTTTGTAACTCGAGCTGAAAGGTTTCGGGACTTTGGATTAGAGCACGAGGGGGACGGAGCGTTGACTTCATTAGACGAGACCTCTCCAACTTAACGTTTAGGTTCAGTGTGCCTCTAACCATTCGGTGATCGCTGCCGGTTTTCACCCTCGCGATCACTGAGACATCACTGAACAGTTGTCGTCTGGTCGTCATAATGAAGTCAATCTCATTTTTTGTCGAACCGTCGGGGCTCGACCAGGTCCACTTCCTGTGGGGCCGCTTCTGGAAGAAGAAAGAGTTCATCATAAAGAGTCCCTCTTTCTCCATGAAGTCGGCCAGCTGCTGGCCCCTTGGGTTCCGTTGCCCTATTCCAAATTTCCCTACTTTTAACTCACCGTTCTCTCTTGTGCCTAGTTTTGCATTGAAGTCTCCCATTAACACCGTATATTGGGTTTTGGAGGAATGCATGGCTCTAGAGATATCCTCATACATTTCCTCTACCTCCTGATCGGGGTGTGCCGAGGTTGGTGCGTAAACCTGTATGACCTTCAGCGAATACCGTTTGGTGATTCTGAGTATAAGGTACGCAACCCTCGTCGACACACTCTCAATCTTTACAACGTTGTTAACGAGAGACTTGTGGACGATAAATCCGACACCTCCTTGGGACAGATGGTCGCCCTCCCGGTAATAGAGCAAGTTGCCGGATTCGAGGATTACCGTGTCCTCCCCCTCTCTTCGGACTTCGGATAATCCTATAATATGCCAGCGTAACTTGTCTATCTCTTCTTCCAGCTCCACAATCTTCTCGTCAGTCCTCAGGGTGCGTGCGTTGTATGTTGCCAGGTCGAGTCGTCGTAGGTGGCAACCGAACCTCCACCGGAGATTCTTAGCACCCCCTGCCCCGCCGTTACCATGGTCGCCACCGTAGCCAGGAATAGCGGGGCCGCCGGGGACTGGGGGCCGTTTATTATTGTCATTGCTCATGGGGGGTATATTGCCATAGTTGCCACGCTTGGCGAGCGGGTTGGCAACCGCAGTTTTTTTATTGTTATTTTGGCTATTATCAGGAAGATGCTGCTGCCCATCTCCTGCCTGTTTCCCTTTGTCGCCTTTTACGACACCCACGGGAAGATATGGGGTAGTGGATATTCTTAACCGCCACTACACTACACTAAGCCTACTTTATTCACTTCTTGGTAGAGTGGAATAGTTGCAATTCAATATGCACCTAAAATCATGTGCTATTTATCTGTGATTCCCAACCAGTGGCCCGCGTACCACCAGCGGTCTGCAAGAGCTTAAACATGGTCAATGAAAGATTTAAATATTTATAAGCTTTTACAAGAAATACACAAATAATACTGTTAATGAATGCTTCTTGTTAATTTATTATATATTTATGTTAAAAGTTGTAATAATAATTGATTGTTAGATTACCATTTTGTCTTTCACCTTGTGGTCCCTGGTAATTACAAAAAAATCCCTGCTTACTTGATGGTAGGATACCTATACTACCTGGGAGTCTGTCAGGGTAGGTATCACATTTACCTACTTCTGCCACTAAACAGCAGAGCTTGAACTGATACATTCCCGACTGTGTCCATGGGCAGCAGTAGCCCCTCACCATCAGGTGGACAGTAGAATTATTTGTCAGTTCTATTTTATATATATATATATATATATATATATATATATATATATATATATATATATATTTTATTTTTTAAAACATTACCTCCACTTAGGTTTTCTCTTGTATTGTAGAGGTAGTTTACAAACATATATTGCACAAGGACAAACATACACACCAGGAACAATTGTGTAGGCCATATAAATACTTGTTCCATCCGGGATTTGAACCTGCTCTCAGTGCTGCAACTCAGTATTAAGCCACTGCACCATAGAGCCATAATAAAAAAGACATTCCCAGAATGGTGTTTACAAAATAATATGCAGTCAATATTATTAAACAAGTGTCTATTATGTATAATTAAGCATTAAATACACTACTACTATCAAAGTAATAAATAATAAAAAATTTAATAATTCAAAATAACAGCTTTAAAAAAAATTGCTTATAAAGCAAGTTATTAGAATTAATAAACAAAGAACCTGATTTTGATTACCTATAATTAATGACTAAATAATCAAATGCTACTCAATTTTAAGATGTCGTTAAGTCTCGTGGTGTCACAGTCACTTTGACTTCAAGTGATAGAGACAGCACGAGACTTAACAGCATCTTAAAATTGAGCAGTGTTTGGGTATTTGGGCATAAACTACATCATCATTTAAATGCACTATAGGCAAGTGCTATAAATAACGTTTTTGCAAACATCCTATTGGTATAATTAAAAAAAATTAACAATAACACCTCACACTTCATCATACAAGCCACTTAGGTCATGGAAAATTACTACGAAACATGTATACATATACCTGAAAGAATATTTCCTAATGGGAGATAATAAAGTTTATAAATTGTTTCCTTGGTAGTAAGGGATGTTAAATGAAATGAATATTACATTCTAAGATCATATATTCATGAAATGATTCTTAAAGAATTAAACATAAACTCAATGTTTACGTTTGTCATCCCTGCTATCCCTGCCATCCCTACTTGACTTTGTACGGTCATAATCATCATACTTCCTTGATGTCACTCGACTCCTCTTATCATCAGATCTACGATCACGAGAACGCTCCAAATCTCGGTCTCTAGATCGTGATTTATGTCGTTTACTAGAGTAGTCTCTCTTGCGGTCATATGGTGAACGAGATCGTCTTTCTCTCTTCTTATGCCCACTACTATGATATTTTGATAACGGTGGAGTTTTGGGTGACTTCTCCTTTTTTACATCTCTCTTAGTGTCTTTAGATGTTGATGCAGCGGGAGAATCTGCTTTTTTCTCTTCTGCTTTTGCCTCCCTCTCTTTTTGAGCTTGTAAATGTTTGTTTGCTTGATAGATTTTTCGTAATGCATCCACTTTGCTTTCTAATTCTTCTGGATTTACTTTCGACCTTTTATAAAGCTGCAATATCCTAAGTGATACATCTCTTATATCTTCTTCTGTAACTTTAAATAACAGAAACCAGTGGGGATTGTTTGGGAGTGGTAGTCCAATTTTACGTGCTGTTAAATAGATGCAAGCACATGCAATTGTCTCTGGAGGGAATCTCATGAAAACATCTGTGCGTAGGGCATCATTCATATAGTTCCATGCCATTTGCATTAACTGTCTGTTCTTTTCATATTGCAGTAACTGTAGGTATACAACAATAAGTTTATGTGGATGTTTAACATGTACACAGAAGCCTAATTCTTTCAATATACGTCTCTCTGCTTTAATAACTTGGTTCTTAAGTTCTATGTAGTTCTGATCTACAATTAAAGGTGATATTGTTTTTTGTGATCTTACTTGCTTGATGTGGTGGAACACATTGATAACATCCCGTATTCTGCAAGGTTTCTCCTCCACTTTTGATGCTAGGTAAATACTACCCATAGCTGTTGTTTCCATTGGATACCTTACAAAAGATTTAGAATAATAGAATCTTTGTAAGTACATTTGACCCGTAGCCATTGCCACCTGAGGTAATTTCAATAGGATGCCAGCAGTTTGAATCATTTCACAACCTAAAATTCTTAAGTCGGTCTCTGTTTCTATATCAAGGCCATCGGTTTGTGATGGGGTTTCCTTAAACGCAGATTCCGGTAAAAGGCAATTGTGGAGTGTGAGAACGATCTTGCCGTAGTTTTTCTGTGGTTTAGCAGGTGTTCCATTACTGCTTTTGGTCTGACTTTGCACTGTTGTCATTGTCATGATGCTTTTACTCTAGGAAGTATATTTTTAAATGAACAACAAATTTGTAACTTTCCGAATAATTTAGTAGTCACTTTTTTCTGCACTTCATGTTAGATTTTATATATAACTAAGACGTAAAAAGCAAGTATAAAAAACTTGTGTAGGTATCGACGGACGAAAATCGAAATGACAGAAAGAAGAAGCCAAGATGGCGCCACAAAATTTAACAGATGTCAATCTGATTTCTCTACATTTGGTGGTGAAGAACTAAAAATTACATTAATTACAACTCACCTTGTGCCATTGTTGATAGTTAATTTAGCTGAGACAGTAAAAAGAACAATAACCACTTGATGAAAATAAAAATAGGCGTTGATTTGAGTAACACAAATCAACAACCAAAATTGTTTTGACTTTTGACAAGAGCGCGTTCTGTTTTTCCATAATATATAATTTTTTTCTTCAGTGTCTTAGGTAAAATATTATGTATTTAAAATAAACTACATATATCTCAGTTACAAAACGTTAAAATATATAATGTTTATATATACCATATGAAAAAAAAATTAAAACTATAACTAATATCTCCTCAATAAATATACATGAATAATTTTTGAAGGTTGCCACTTGCCAATGGTTGGCAAATCCAACATTGATTTTAAAATTTTTCAATTTATGTATAAACGCGATTTGCTCTTTCTCTTTTTCCTACTTTAAAATACTATTATAATAAGGCTAAAGCAAAGCACAAACTTTAATATCATCTGGGCTAATATAAAACAAAACTCAACAGCGGGAAATTTAAGTGGTGGCGTGATGGATCAATAATGTTTATAATTGGATTTAATACACCAAAGTAAAAAAATGATTACACTACGGTATATATATTTAATTACAGATATTTATTATAATATAAGTACAGGCTTTTAAAGTAAGATTCATGAAATTAGTTTGAAAATAAGGGAACATTCATACTTACACCCTGGATCAGTGCATTTCTGGACAAATGAATCCAAAAAGTCGTGACCTTCGCCAGCTTCAAAACAGCATTTAACAAAGGACATTTTTTGAATTTTCAAGTATTTTTTAAAACAATTGTTAAAAATATAGAGTCATCTTGTAACATTAATATATAATCTTTTAAAATATTTTTCTAACATTAATAACAAAATTAAAACAACCACTTTTTAACAATTAAATAGGTTTTTGTATGTTTTAAAACACTTAATTTGTAAGTTATTACTAAAATAATAATATTTTTAAGAATAGAATACGGGTTAAATTAGAATATTAACAAGAGGATTAGTATTGATATAAAATTATATTGCTTTAATTTGTACTCTAGAATAATTAAAACCTAAATCACTGCTTTTTAAATAAGTCAACAATTAACATAGTCACATATAACATATATTTTAATTTTTTTTTTATACTTAGTTATCGAATACACAAAAATGTCAATGCGGTCATGGCTCACAGCAATGTATTGAATGTTATGCGACTAAAATGAAATGTTGATTTTTCACGAAGAAGTTTAATACTTCAATATGTTCTTTTACATTTGGCAATATAATGCGCACGACACATTGCGTGTTAAAATGAAGGCTCACTGATGTTTGTCACTAATAAACTAATCTTTCGCTCACTAGGTGTCACTAGTTGGAAATGAAGTGAAGTTAATTGCTTATTTATTACAGAAAAGCACCATTGAGAAGTTAAGTTTTAAATAAAGGTTTATGTAGAATGTATATACACAAAACAATGTCTCAGCGCTTAGCGCCTTAATTTTTTCTTATTTTTAACATCTTCTTAATCTTCTACTTTTAGGAATATCCATAGTTTAGCTAATATTTTCAGAAATACATAAATCTTTACTTTTTCATTTTAATTTCCCAAGAAATGAAATCTGTCAAATTTTCACCTTGCCGTTCTGGTTCTGGTGGCATAGTTGTAGAAGCTTTTAATTCCACTATTAAATACGAGATGGCATTATTTTAAATGAAGATCAACTATCGAATACTAGATGGCACTTTTCTTACTTCTTTGCTTTACATATGATATATTAATAGTATTAAAATTGGATGAAAATATTAATATGCTAAATAAAAAATTAAAAAACATACAATATGCAGTATTTATTTACTTACTTTTATCTTTACATTATCAGCCTATCAAAAATTCTCTACTAAACATAGTCCTCTTCCATAGATTACCTCATCAGAGTGGTATTTGCTACAGTTGCCACGCTTGACAAACGGCGTGATTTATATTCTGCTGCTATCAGGAAGACGCTGTCTCCCATCTTCTTTTTCAATTTCCCACTGTCGCCTCTTACGACACCCACGGGATGATATGAGGTAATGGCTATTTTTACACCACCACTTGGCGGTTAATTAAAAAAAAGATATTTATTATAATACTTTTTTATTATATTAAATAATAAAGAAAACTAAAACTAAAATTATCATATAATCACTAGAACGCTAGCTGCACTTCCTCGCTGAATGGCTATATTTAGCCTTTGATTGAAAAAAAACCAGTCCTCTTGATACCAGCGGCGACGACAATCCACGGATACTAAAACATTCCCTCTAGGAATATTACCGCACGTGGACCCTCAGGACCGATTCAGTCTCGGAGACTCAAATTTGAGCCATTTACTCAGTTCAACAGTATGCAACCCCGGCTCTAAAGGTATCTCCTTTAGTACCCCTGAGAATTATAGGTTTTCAATGTGTCTACGCACGTAGCATCCCACACTAGGTCTTTGCCTCTCTCCCAAAGGACTAAAGTTCCAAAATCATACGTCTCTAAAAACCGAGGGAACTTTTATAGAGACAAGAACCGTGACGGGACAACCCACCAGCAGTTTCCTTACATGAAGGTCTGAGGAGCCCAAGCTCATCGACGCCACTATCACAAGGGCACTGATGAGGACGACACATCGCCGTTCCTAGTCACATTCCTACGGTTATGCGCAAGCTTTCCCCGTCAAGTAATATGCCGAGATTACTCGATGTTAAAGCGGGTAAACAGTGACAAGTGAATAAAGACTAGATTAGTGCTTAGTCCAAACAGCTAGGAAAGAGGCCTGACTTGATCTTGGGCACTATAGAAACTATGAAACAAATCTATATGCACACTCCGTACCGACGAGTATCCCACTGTTCTTTTGGTTTTGTTATTTTATCTATCTCCATTAGAACAACCCAGCTGATGGTAAGTGAATGCTGTGGCCCTTAGACATTTACATGTATCCTCGATTAAGAATCAAAATGCAGATGCGTTGTCACCCGTGAGGACTAAGATGGAATGCCTCGTTTCCAGTAAAAAAGGTCTCCGGTCCTCTACACTCACCATACGAAACACAGCAGCTTTAAGCTGCTATTTCACGTTGATATTCTGTGGTCCTTTTCCGGTCGAGCCCATTATAGCTGCAACGTGATCTGACGCGTAACGCGTGTGACGAACAATGCAAATCCACCCTACATGATGCCGATGATCTAGAGTCGAAGTACATTTAAAATTTTACTGCTTTTTTAATATCTGTAAGTAATACTCGTAGCGACGGTTTCCATAGCGCTACTCGTGTTTATTGTAAGTATAATGACGCCGTTTGTATTGTGATAGGGTTGTTTTATTGTTTTGAAGTTGCTACTTGTTTAAAGGTTAAAGGCGTTGTATAGCACATAATAAAGATGTTAATAGTACCGTTGCTGTACGGTTTCTGACTATTTTATATTGTCGAGTTATAATGTTATTTGTAGTATGGACGTTGGAGGTATCGATTCTCTTTTCTTTTAGCCGACTTCAAAAAATGCAGGAGGTTAACCGACTCTTTGTATATGTTTAAGCTGAGTAGTGGCGGTGTAAGAATATCCACTACTCCATATCGTCCGGTGGTTATCATAAGAGGTGACAGAGGGAAACTGAAACAGGAGATGGGCAGCAGCGTCATTAAGGATATAATATCTCAAAATAATAAAAAACCCTTTTAAATTTTTTCAAAAATAAATGTCTTTTGATACAATCATCATAAGATAATATTCATCATAAGCAGTGGCGGATTTACCAGCAGTTTGAGTAGGCTGGAGCCTAGGGCGGCAGATTTTAGGAGCGGCAAATTTGGGATACATTTTTTATGTGTTTTACAGAAATTAAAAGATTCATATTTATATACCGAAATGATATTAGGTCCACAAACAATTTAACATGTAATATGTTCCACCACTTACATAAATTTTACTACATTTTGCGTTATCGCATTTAATTGTGAAAGAACGCCCGGGAACGAGTGACATGACCATTCGCTAAGTGTCTGACCGAAATGCCGAATTGACTACATGAGCGCGGCGCTCCCGAGACGAGAGGAAATATAATCTATTTTATTTTAGTTCTTAAAAAAAAATTTAGTGATGGGACAAAGCGACAGTGGAGCTGAGTATATATAAAAGAAGGCCAAAATGAAAAAGGAACAAGAATAGATTATCCGTAAAGCGATAAAATCGACAGCTTTTTTAAAGTGGAAGTAGAAGTAGTGTTGAATGACCAAGAACTTCAACAACATGCACTGCCACAATACAATCAGGAAAAGATGAAACAGATTTGAACTCTGCGGCGCAGAGTTCAAATCTGTTGTCTGCAGTCATCTTTTGAACACTCTACTTTAGAATAAAAGAAGAGGCGGTAGAGGAATCATCAATAAGTATATAAGAATCAGAAGTTAAGTAATAACAGAGTGCAAACAGCAGTAAAGCTAAACAAATATCCAGCTTTATGGAAAATCAACGATACCGTAAGGGAGATTATCGCAAGGTACGGCTTCGAGCAAAACACTTCTTGTGACTTCTCTAAAAGTAAAAAATATATGCTGATCAGCGTCGTTTATCTTCCAAAGAAAAATGAAATACGATGTAAACGACCGAAATTGACTGGTTTATTCTGCAATGAAAAATCTGTATATTACGAAGTGTTTGGCATTTGGTCCATCGGAGAATAAGACTCAGTTTGAGAACGAAGAATTTATTGACTTGAAAAATGCAGAATATTGAGTAGCTCAGCATGAAAACTCTGCACGTCATAAATCTAGTATCCTTAGTCTGAAAGTTAGAAGTGAGATTGATGGTCGACACGACAATTTACGGCATGTCCAGATTGATGAAGAAATTACTTTTTGGACAAACGTTCTAAAAAATTTGTTGCCGTAGTGAAACAACAGCGTTCAAGAGGCCTAACTTTCAGGGAAAAAAATGAAAAGTTCGGTGATCTGCACAATGAAAATTATTGAATAATTTTGGAACTGTTAGCTGAATTTGATCCTTTTTAAGCCAGTCATATTGAACGATTTGGGAATCACTTACAAATACAACAACAAATACAATACAACAGATTGGAGATGAGATAAGACGGGCGAAATATTTTTCCTTATCATCGATTCAACACCAGATATACACATGTGGACCAACTTACATTTTAGAACTTACGTTTTGGAAACAGACAAAATCAGTGAAAGATTTCTCAAGTTTTTGCTCTCAGTGGGGCATAAAGCGGAAGAAATGAATTCCGGCATTATTTCGGAACTCAAAACACTGGTCATAAATATTGACAATCATATGAAGACTGTCGTGGACAATCATATGACAATTTCGCGAGCATGTCTGCTCTGTACAATGGCTTACTACCGGTTAAATTTCAAAGCCAAGCACCTTTTGCTTTCTTCATTCCTTGCTCTGCCCACTATTTAAATTTAGTGGCAACTGCGCCTGCTGAATCTTGCACAGAAGCTTGTCGCTTCTTCATGTGCTGCAAAATATCTACGTATTTTTTGTAAGTTCAACACAACACTGGCAAAAGTTATTGACTGAAATAGGGAAAGGGAAAATGCTAAGGAGAATAAATCTGACACGTTGGTCAGCTAAAGAGGATGCGGCTAGAAGTTTCAAGAAATTCTTCTCAGGAAGTCCTTAAAACTTTGGAATGAATCGAGAATGATTGTACCAAAAAACCTGTAACGCAAAACGAAGCGACGGGAATACTTTTGAATTTAGAAAAACTTGAAACATTGGTAATGATTGTTGTGTGGATTGTATTTTTGTAAAGAATAAACAAAGTGAATGTATAAATTCAGGCTTTTACCGTAGGTTTGATTACTCTTCTTCAAGTTTTTCGTAACTTAACGAGACAATTTTAAGTACTACGACAATTTCGCGTATACTTAAAATTTTAAGCGTACTGCTTCGAAGCAGTATACAAAAGAAGGGGATAAAAGCACAACCGAAAAGGAAAAAAATTATGAAATAACCAATAAAGAAACATCAATACAACATATTCCCTCATCCTGATTGATATACTCGTATCCGAATTTAAAAAAAAAAAACAGCAGAAGGCTAACAACAGGTTTAATGAAAAGTTTTAATTTCTGACCAAAATGAGTGGATTGTCATCATCAACCATTACGGGAAAAGCCCTTTTTTTGAAAGAAGTGTATTAGAGACAGACTAATTTCAAGAATGCCACCATTCATTCATCTTCAATGCTTCCGAAAGAATTTTGAGCAAACCATATTCTGGATTACTGAAGTCTATATTCGTTCCTGCGACAGAATTTGCAAAACGTTTATTCAAAATTTATATAATTAATAGCAGTTCACATAGTTCTACCTCTACACCAGATTTTTCGGATAAGGAGGCTTTTCTTGCTTAAATCGGGTGAAAAATTATCTACGATTTACCTATATAAATATATAGATAGAAAAACTAAACGCCTTAGCTCTTTTGTGCATAAGAGTCAGAACTAATGAACAATATTTCATAAGACGATATAATTTCATCGACAAAAAAAATTATAATTAATATGATTGTGAACTAGGGTATCGAATTGTAGGGGTCGGTAGGGGCGGCAAAATTTCATTATCCTACTGGCGGCAAAATGTCTAAATCCGCCACTGATCATAAGATACATTTTTAGGGTTAGTAATGAAAATTTATTCAATAACCACAGTTTCAGTTACTTAGTGCATTGTTTTAACAGATCTCTTTTAGAGCGAGGCTAATTGCATCAAAAACCATAGAAAAGAGAAGCTGAAGTAGAGTATTCAGTTTGAGCGCGTTTGAGTTTAAATAATGAGAGGAAATTTATCTCAACACAGACGATTTTTTAAAATTGAATAAGGGTGACAAACGAGCACACAGTCCACCTGATGGTAAGTGGATACTGTGGCCCATAGACATCTACATTTATATTCAATTAAGAATCACAATGCAGATGCGTTGTTACCCCCGACGACTGAGATGGACTGGCTAGTTTACAGTAAAAAGGGTCTCCGAAACGAACAACATCATTATTACATAAAACCAGGCGGTAGGAGTCCTTTTCTGCCTAGGATTGCTTCTTCACCTCCAAGCAGTAGTACGTAAACTGCTTCGTGCCAGTCTAAAGGGTATAAAGAGCCAGTATAGTTACAGGTTGTAATAGAATAATAGAATAGAATATTTTTTTATTCAATATAGATCACATGTGTAATTCTTATTGAAAGTCATTTTTTACTTTACCACTGGTTCGAAAAAAAAACCTCTGTCCTGAGAAGAACTAGCAAGAAACCCAGCGGGACTTTTTATTAAAAGCAATTTTTATATTAATGGTTGTACAAACTATATAAGTACAAAATTTATTTTAGAAACAGCTTGGAAGCGACCACCTCATTCCCAGGGGTTATTATCAACCATGTATTCATTTATACTATAATAACCCTTTTTATACAGTTTCAACTTAACAAAACATTTAAACTTGGTAATAGAGAGAGCCTGTACACTTTCCGGGACCTTGTTGTAATAGCGTATACATTGCCTCAAGAATGAATTACTGACTCTGTGAAGTCGAGAAACTGGTATCACTAGCTTGTGTTTGTTCCTAGTGTTTACAGAATGTATAGCACTTTTTTTTACTAAAACTATCTTTGTTTTTGTGAACATACATTAAATTTTCGTAAATATACTGAGAGGTCAAAGTTAATATATTTATTTCTTTAAATTTATCTGTAAGAGATTCTCTCGGTTTTAGGTTGTAAATAGGTCTAGTTTCTGAATCAGCCGCATTTCCCCATAGCAAAATCCCATAAGACATTATGCTATGGAAATAACTGAAATAAACCTATCTAGCTGTCTCGACACTAGTGAGACCTCTAATCTTTTTTACAGCATAGGCTGCAGAACTTAGTCTGCTTGCTAGTTTGGACATACGGGGGCCCTACTGAAGTTTTGCGTCGAGAGTGATGCCAAGAAAAACAGTGGATTCAACAGGGCTCAGTTCTTCCCCATTTAAAAACAATTGGTACTCAGGTTTTTAACATTCGTTGTTGTAAATTTAATACATTTAGTTTTATTTCCGTTTAAATGTAGATTATTAACGTTAAACAAATGCACTAATTTTGATATAGCATTATTCACTTCGTCACATTTAAATGATTGACGTTTAAGATTAAAATCATTATATATATTTTAAATCTCTTTGTTTGTGAGATACAGCATTTTGCGTGAAGCAACTTTTGTTATTTTGAATAAAATGTATAAAAAGGAAGTTCGTGTGTTAATGAAACACTAATTTTTGATGCAAAAGAAGTGCTGCTGATACCAAAAAGTGGCTTGATGAGTGTTATCCGGATTCTGCGCCGGGCGAAACAACCATTCGTAAGGGGTTTGCTAAATTCCGTACAGGCCATATGAGCACGGATTACGATGAACGCAGTGGACGTCCAAAAGAGGCAGTTACGGACGAAAACATCAAAAAAATCCACAAAATGATTTTGAAAGATCGTAAATTGAGGTTGATTTGTATAACTGATAAAGATATAAAAGGAATGTGTTGGACATATCGTTCATGAATATTTAAGTATGCGAAATCTACGTGTAAAGTGGGTGCCACGCGAGCTCACAATCGACCAAAAACAAGAACGTGTCGATGCTTCAGAGCAATGTTTGAAGCTGTTCAACCGCAATAGAAGTGAATTTTTGCGTCGATATGTGACAATCGATGAAACATGGATCCACCACTACACTCCCGAGTCCTGTCGGCAGTCATCTGAGTCGATTGACGCGATGAACCGAATCCAAAGCGTGGAAAAACTCAACAGTCGGCCGGTAAGGTTATGGCGTCCGTATTTTGGGATGCACATGGAATAATTTTCATCGACTATCTTGGAAAGGGAAAAACCATCTACAGCGACTATTAAATAGCGTTATTGGAGCGTTTAAAAACAGCCCCATTTGAAGAAGAAGAAAGTGCTGTTCCATTAAGACAATGCGCCGTGTCACAAATCGATGAAAACAATGGCAAAATTGCATGAATTGGTCATCGAATTGCTTCCGCATACACCGTATTCTCCAGATTTGGCCCCCAGTGACTTTTCCTGTTCTCAGATCTCAAGAGAATGCTCGCTGGAAAGAAATTTAAAGCCGATGAGAAAGTAATCGCCGAAACAGAGGCCTATTTTGAGGCTAAACACAAATCGCACTACAAAAATGGCATTGAAAAGTTGAAAGATCGCTATAATCAGTGTATCGCCCTCGATGGCCACTACGTTGAATAATAAAATCGATATCAATAAAATTTTGCCAAATAAATGTATTTTTCTATAAAACGATACGAACTTCTCAGCCCATTTTGTCATCTCTGAGAAATAATATAGATTGCCTCACAGCATGTGATTATACTGTATGTTTAATGTATATACCCTTCAAGAAGTTATCTGCGAGATGGCTCGTATATTGTGTTCTGGTATTGTGAGTCATGCATTGGTGTCAGTCATGCTGCAAACTTGAGTAATTGGGAAAACGATAGTGTAGTGGTTGTGGTGATGGTGTGGTGGTGGTGGAATAATAGTGCGTGGAACAGTTTTAGCTGGTAGCCAAACTACTGGGTCAGTCCGAATTTCGGTCGCGGCGACTAGTACGAGGATCAACTGAGAATAGTCGGACTAAGCGCAGGACAGAGCACGAGTGTGCGCAAGCACAGCTGCAGTCTCTATTCCCTCACTCTGATAATCCGATAGGACGCCAATTCGACACGGGGAGAGATCAGGCGTAGGCCTAAGGCTTTAATTGCTTTCTGAGATAGAGAGATGATATACCACAAACTTTCGGACTCCGAGCTGTTACAGACGACTAGACTAACGAGGAAGTCGGAATAGTAATCTTTGAATGGATTTAAAACCGAGGTCGTAGTTTAAGTTTAAGTCAAGTTTAAATGTAGTAAATATTCAATTTGTTAAGTATTCCAGTCGTGAGTTTGTCAAGTGTCGAAAACCGGAGATCCAGTTAATGAATACAACGAAGAATTTCATCATACTTACTTTAGTCACTTAAGCGAAAGCTCAAGCTAGATTGAAATGCTTTGGTTACATATTTTTACGTCAAGTGTGAGCTAGTTGAATGCAGTAATCCCAAGTCGTTTTCCTTGCAAACGCGAACGCCTTCGGATTATTCCTCGCGGTAGAGCCTTTTTAGACTACGCAACGATCTCTCACTTACCGCTCGCCAATTTTAATTTTTAACTCAAGTCATTCAGTCGACCTCGAGAAATGGAGGAGAACGGGCGCGCTTGACGCCATCTTGCATGTACTGTCAAACTACGCGATAGTGCAGTGTTATTTTTTTTAATATTAGTGAACCGTGTTCATTTATATAGAGTGGTCTATCTCTTTTTTAATTTGTGTGTTTGTCATTATTGCTGTCTGTTGTGATTGGTGGATTTCGAGTGTTTTAGGTGCCCATCTAATTGTAGATCATTTGAACTATCTCCGGTGTTACGGATGCTGCTGTTGTATTGGTAAGTTTTTTAATTAAGTATATTGATTTACAACTGATAAGTGATCTAATAGCTTGCGTTGTGGTACGAGGCAACTGCAGGCCATGGACACCTGTGACTATCTTCAAACAAAGAAGGTCATGAATGCGTTGTCACCTTTGAGATAATGACGCCTCACAGTCTGTTACTATCCTGGTTCTATATACTCTTCGGAGCGGAACACAGCAGCGCATGTATTGCTACGTGGTGATGAACACAGGTACCCAAGAGGGTGGTATAGATCCAGACGTAATATGGGATAGATAAAGAGTTGTCTTTATATCTTGTGTTATAACGTCATGTTTATAATATGCACTTAATATGTAAAGTACATAAAAATACTTCAAGTTTAATTCAAATAAGACATCAAATTTTTATCAGTAAGCGGAACCGGATGTCCGGCATATGTAATTTTAATTACGCTTCTGTGTTTAATATATATTACATTTTTGACAACTAACGAAAAAAAATTGCGGTTTTAAAGTCATACATAAGACTTTTTCAAAATAATGCCTCCCATTATATACTATTAATTGTTTATATAAAAACGCAAAGAACAGCACATTAAAGTTTTATTAAGCTGTAATCAACAACTTCGACAGCGCTATTTTATAGTAAATTACATAATCGAACTCTATAACTGCCGGGTCATTAAGCTCACTCTCGCTGACAGACTAACCTTTTGATATAATTTGAAAGCTTATTACAAGTAAACATAAATTGCTTCAAATGTAATTTAGGTTTACAATCATTAAGCATTAATTCTTACTTTTTTATATTTTATTGAGATTGAGTCACAAAATTATAAAATCTACTACTCCATATCATCCCGTGGGTGTCATGAGAGGTGACAGAGAGAAACAAATCAGGAGATGTGCAGCAGTGTCTTTTTAATAACGACTAAAAATGTGATTGCCAACCCGCTTGCCAACCGTGGCAACTATGGCAAATATTTCTCTATGAGGCAATCTATCGGGGAGACCTGTGTTCAGTGGAATTTAATAGGCTGTAACAGTAACTGTCAACTTTTAGAGTTGTAACTTAACAGGTGTTTTCACCTTAGTAAAGTTGGCAGCTATGGTTGAAACCTAGCCAGCACTAAAGCCTATCCACATAAGAAAAACAATGTAAGGAAACTTGAGAATACGTAAGGTCCGTGAACAGGCACTGGAAAAACACAACCAATTAACTGCTAGAAATATTACCAAATTATTTTGCGTAATAAATAGTTTGTAAAGAATTTAAAAAAAAGTGTTAAGTAAAAACTGTCAATTTGTCTAAACACAGAATTTAGTCATATTGTCATAGCTTTAAATGCGTTAAAAGCTCGTGCGTAGATATTTTCACAACATAAAACTTAAAATCCAAAACGTTATATCTTGGTCAAATAATTCGTCACTGATTGACAAATGACAAAGCCAATGTGTTATTTCCTGGGCAGCCAAACTGTATGTATATACAATAGTATCTTGCTTGAATCCGGCTCAATGGACCATATTCGAGTGTTTGTAGCAAGTTTTAGTAGTCTGACGTGTGACACTTTGCACTTTTAAATTTATAATAAATTTAGTTTATTAATTGAACATACAGCCTATAGGTAAACACCAAAAGTAATGGAGCATGTAATGGCAGAGATTAACACACAAGAAGTTTGTACTGGCTGAGCCAGTATAATTAAGACTGACGTTTGGATCGCTGTAGATTAATTGGAGTTTTGCTGCAGATATCCATGGATTACAGCACTCACTTACGATCAGTTTAACTGCGTTACTATAAATTAATAAAGGGTAAAAAAATAATTAAATACCATTATTATTAATAATAATAGTACGTGGATGTGGCAAAGCCATGCTGTAGCTATATCAATTGTATATTTGTAGCACAAATGGGTCGACTCGATCGGGAAAGGACCAAGCTCTCACAGAATATCAGCGTCAAAAAGCAGCTTAATGCTGCTGTGTTTCATGTGGTGAGTATAGAGAACTGGATACCCTTTTTACTGAAAATAAGGCATTCCATCTTAGTCCTCAGGAGTGACAACGCATCGGGATTTTGATTCTTAATCGAAGATAAATGTAGATGTCTTTGGGCCACAACATCCATTTATCATGAGGTAGACGGTGTGCTCGTTTGTCACCCTTATACTATAATATATATATATATATATATATATATATATATATATATATATATATATATATATATATATATATACGGTAGGTACTTATAACAAAAACAATTTTTTGTTATAAGTACCTACCGTATTTTGACCGATTTTGTTATAAGTAGTAACTTAGACTACATTTGTTTTAGGAAAAGAATTAGGGTTCCGCGCAAAAACATTAAAACCCACAAAATCCAACCGTAATAAATTCCACGCGGACGAAGTCGCGGGGAACAGCTAGTGATTTCATATATTTACACGAATACTACACGTTAAATAAAACTAATTGCTGCCAGCCTTCCAAATAATCATGCTGGCAGGGTTTTTGAATAGGTATGCATTTTATTGGATTTTTAAGTGATTTTTAAGTGACAAGCGACCTAATTGATGCTACAATAAAGATGAGAAGAAGATGCAATTTTTTTGCTACGACTACTTTTATCAGCTCAGGAGTCCGGCTGAGTAGCAGCAGTGCGAGCACTACTGTGTCCGGTTTGGAGATCAAAGAGCCAGTATATTTGCTGTGGGAGGTGAATCTTTACCCTTCTTTCTATGAAGTTAGTTGCAGCTACCTATGGTCTGCTGCCCACTTACCATCAGCTAGGCTGTAAGCTACTTTGTCACTTCAGTTTTATTTAAAAAAAAACTACTTCGTTATGGAAATTGGGTAAAAGTATTAATGAATTATTAATCAATGTTTGGTAATAAAATTAGTGGAGCTCGCGATTACAAAACACACTTTCAATTCTCTCGTTAATTAACTGAATCTAGAGTGTTCGATGTCACATTATGTTACGAATTCGAGTTTAATATTATGTACAATATATTAATACTTTCATTTCATTATGTGTGAAAGCCGTGGGGCAATAGCTGGTGGATAGTGGGACTTAGAGCGAGGCTAAGTGCTTGCTGTAAAGTTTGCAGTACGCGAGCAAACTTTATTCGTTTCCCGTTGGTACCAATGAAATTGTTAAATGCAATTTTAGAAACCTGCATGGCTGAAAAATAAAGAAAATTTTCACACGCATTGGGGTAGTGCAGCGGACACTTCTTTACCCGAAAACCCTCTTAGGAGTTTGTGCCCAGCTGTGGGACGCTTATAGGCTGTAACTTTACTTTCGTTATGTAAATTTTAAAAGGTAACTAATAATAAATTAAAAACAAGTTTAATTAAACGCGATAAAATCCGTAAAATTAATAAAGAAATTATTTACAAACAGCATTAACACAAACTTAAAGTGGCTACAATAACGACTTGGTACAGGGCCGCAGGTTCGAATTCCTCCACTAAACAAGTGTTTGGTATGACCTACAAATAATTGTTAAGTGTTTGGATTTATGTCCACTTGTAATACTGGCTGATTTTTTTAACCGCCGAAAAAAAAAATTTTGAATGAAAAAAATAAATAAAGCGATTAATAAGGAAATTAAAATGATATGCACCCTACTTTACGCGTAGCAATTATCGCCCTTGACCTTGAGGCCGACCGCTTGGTTTGCCAAAGTTTACTTCAAATTAAGGCCCATTATACAATCTTCAGATGAAAGTTAGTTATAACATAAAATGCAACTACAGTTGT